AGGATAACGAAACAAATTTACAGAGCAAAAATTTCGATTAATTAGACATTTTTACGTATCGAAGCAATTTTTTGTTTCAAACCACCTGATAAGTCATGTGACATTATAATTACTGTGGTATTCTATTGGCTGAATAATGAGGTATTGTCATTTTTACTATTATACCTGATATAGATTTGATTAATTAGTATGTCGGAAGCCCCAGTGCGACGTGCTTTTAGGCCGAAAAACCGGCCAAATCAATTTTGTGGCTTACAAAGACAATCCTTAATATGTAACGTAACACTGTTTATTGTGCATGATTGTGTCCAGCTTATTACAAGTAAAAAAAAAAAAAAAAAAAAAAAAAAAAAACTTAGACTATCAGGATATCTTCTATTGAATAATTATGTATCTTAATAAAATGAATATACAAACTCCTCTACTAATATCTCATTTCACACGCCAACATTTATTTTTTAGTAAACCTCAATGCTTTCTTGGTTTTTATTCCACAAAATCATTACCTCAAAAGCCACAAATGGCTACTCGTCCTGAACTATTTACTCAGCAAATAATTTTGTCGAATGGAGCTACTTACACGATGCGCACAACCTCTCCAAAATCTCTAATTAAATTAATTAAGGATACTCGCAATCATCCACTTTGGAACCCTACGACACAATCTGATTCTTTGGATGATGAAAGTGGTCAATTGTCGAAATTTACTAAAAAATTTGGAAACGAAGAGTTCGATCTGGATTTGATGTCAACAGATGAAGATGAGTCCTTATCTATGAGCTCTAATGAAGATGTGGGTGAAAAAAATAAAAAAAAATGATGTTATTCTGGCAACTTTGATTGTAGCACGAGTTAAACCAAAACCTTTCTAACAATTTAATGTTAGTATTTAGTTCTTATACTAAATAAAAAATTCTACTAAGAATTTCCGTGATTTTGGATCAATGGCAACCATTTCACAACAAATCATTTAACCGACATCATTTAGGATGACAATTTGGCATTTTATTAGTTTTAGTATATATAATTTGTAAATTGTCACATTATATGTGATGTCGGTTAGATGACTTGTCGGTGAAATAATACGAACCCATTGGAATAACTATCAAAAGCCCGACTAAAATTATAGCTAATACTAACCTGGCTAACTGTGGTTGTCGGGAAAATGATAGGATCCCGATAAATATGATCATGTGGGACATATATATAAGGTTGGGTGCACGATATGCCTTTTGAGCCGAAGAATTTAATATAAAGGGAAAGTCTACAAACACGAACACCTGCCGTTCTTGTGATTTTGCATTAGCTCACGTGATCATTGACAAAATTTTTTCTTGATTTTTAAACGAATATTTCTTAATAAATTTCAATAAAAAAAATTTAAATGAATTTTTACGAGCTATTAGAAATTATTTAACCCATTTTTTTTACCGAATTTAGCTATACAGTTGTTAAGAAACCTCTGAAAAGATTATTTTTCTGGATTGCAGAATTTTCTCTTGATAAATACCTGATAGGATTTGATGAAAAGTTTTTAATTGAATTCTACAAACTTGTGAAAAATTATATAAATTTTTCAACGAATTTTATTAGGTAGTTATCAAGAAACCTTCAAAGTTTAGGAAAAAAAAAGTTTTGATACATCAAAAATTTTTCAATAATTACCTGAAAGAATTTTGTAAAATTTTTTTAACTACCGCTACCGTAAAAGTCGGACACGTGTACCCCGGGTATTTTCATTTCTCAAATCTGTACCCGTATTGAGACGATATGTTTTACTATGTCTATCTGGGATGATACATATACATGTATAATGTTTATGTACCCGGGTATAAGTCACCGTCTAGCTCTTAAAACTGTACACGTGTCCGACTTTTACGGTAAATTCAACGAACTAATAGAATTTATTTTTTAAAACAATTCATTGAATTGTATCCAGCAGTTAAGAAATTTTCGTTCAAAGTTTGGAAAAAAATTGTCGCAGTTACTTTTTAGAATTTTTTTTAACTTTTAACAAATATTTCTCAATAACTACAAAGTGAAGTTCAGTAAAAAAAAAATTTATTAATTAATTCTACTCGTACGTAGAATCCATTTTAAACAAATTACTATTGAATTCTATTACATTGCTATTGAGAAATATTCGCTCAAAGATAGAGAAAAAATTCTACTTTGGTAGGTGCATGATCATATGGATTGGCAGTAGGGTTATTAATGGGTTGGACTGGGGTGGGTTGGGTTGGGCTATTCCTCAACCCAGTTCAACTTGGGTTGGACTCACTCTGGAGCCACTTCAGATTTGCTTAGAGCTCCACTTTCACTCCAGCATATTTTTAACCCATCTCAACTTGGGTTGGGTTCACTCCAGAATATGCCACTCCATTAACAACCCTAACTGGTAGGTGCAAAATCACATGAGTGCTATACTTTCCCTATTATAAAATGCCAGGTACTGTATGACTTAGAATCTTGGGAGTAAAGCCACGAAATTAGTGTTTGAAATTATGAATAGTGATTCGAGTTGGGTAAATAAAACTAGAGTGGTGGAATAATTTCATCACTAATGGTGAAATGGTAGTAAACTGATGAAATTTGGTGAATTAATTTCGCCAGCATCTCTGTTCGAACCTTAGCAAAAGATTCGAAACAAAGATTCATGAAAATGGTTCTTGGTGGCATTTGAGTTAATTACATGTATATGTTTTTTTTTAATTTGGCTAGTTGAATTTTCCAGTTCCAAGATATGCATTTAAAGAGGTTTGACTGTATATTCAATATCATATAATTTAGTTAAATTTCACAAAGCTTTACAAAACATAGTGAAACTAGAAGCAATATATTTACTATCATTATAGCCTAACTCGTAAAATAGAATATTTAACAAAGATATGCGTTAATGTGGTTATTTTTGTATTACTTTGTATTTTATTTGTTTCAGAATTTTAACATATTGGTTTAGAGTATAAGTCAGGTGTTCTCCAAATTACATGTACAGTAATGTGATTGAAATTCTTTCAGTAAGGTCATGAACAAGTTCACAAATTATATTCTAAGTTCATAAAAAAACAATTGTTAGAATGAATGTAATATATAATTAAAACGTATCAATCAATGCAAATATAAACAGAGGTAATTGCCACCTAAGTGATTATATTGTAAAATGTAAATAGCATATGTAAGAATCAGTCATATTTGTGACAACACTAAGTTTTATGTTTTAAAAGCATCTTTTCTTTGTGAAATTCAATGATACAAGACACTAACTATAAAATTACTATTTACTAATTAATTATATAATTCCTATATTAATTTCTTAACCCATTTTGAAACATCTATTGTAGCATATTATTCTAAAGAAATTTCTATAAATCAAAAAATTCTTTGAACAAAATTATACAATTTAGATAAGATCAAATAGATTATCAAAATTTATAAAATGCAGTATGTGTTTCAACAATTTGACTACTTTTATTAAATAATCATCTTGGTTCAAAAATATACAGTTTTAACATCATTCTACAATATTAGACATATTCAATCCGCTATTTGTTAAATAATTGTAACTAATATTCAAAATCAATAAAATAAATAAACCTATTTTATTAAAAGATGAGTTAGTTACCTGGACAAAGTAATGTGGTATATTGAATAAATTTGCTTTGATAAATGTCATCAGGATACGTTTGTAAATATGTGCCTTCAATGAGTTTGTTATTATAAATATCATCAGGATATGTTTTTATACGAGTGCTTTGAATGTTTTTTAATATTTTGTCTGATTTAATTAATTCTAATAAAATATTTTCATCACTATGCCATTCTGTAAGGATTTCACAAATTTTTGTTGCTGATGGACGGTTTATTGGTTCTCTTTCCCAACACTTCTTCATTAAGTTTACATAACATTGTGGAATGTTCTCAATAACAACCGGTCTTAAATCATTATAGCATATTTCTTTTTGAAGTTGTGTTAAAAACTCTTGGTTATAAGTTATGGATTTTCCATACAAAATTTCCCACATAATTATTCCAAATGAGTAAATATCTGATGCTGTTGTATATTGACCTCTGTCTAAAGTTTCCGGCGCTATATACGGTAAAATTCCATAAACTCCACGACGTTTTGTCTGTCTTGCCTTTATTTCTATACGTGTTGATATTGAAAGTCCTAAATCTGCAATATACGCGTTATTTAAATTATCCTGTAAAATATTACCGCTATGCAAATCTCGATGAATAAGTTCTTGAGAATGAATTGATTGAAGATTGGAAGCAATACAATGCAATAATTTTAGTTTATTTTCCCATTCCATTTGTGCTACAGAGTGAAGATTTTGTCGCAAGGAGCCCATTGCTGCGCGTTCTAAGACAAGAATATAATCACGTGAAATTTCATCTTTTGATATTCCAAAGCACCTTAGAAATGTTGGATTTTCATTGCAAATATCACAATATGCTTTCAACTTCTGCATTAAAAATAACTGGTCAAATATATATTATTAATATATTAGCACATAAATAAAATTACCTCATTCACAGATTTCTTACGATAGCGTTTTGAATCATGAAGCAATTTAAGTGCAACAGGTTGATCAATGTTTTGGTCTTTATCGACCCACATAGCATAATATACTGTCGCAAATTCACTTCTCCATATAGCTTTAACATTTTCAAACTCATTATAAGGAATCCAAGATAATGAATTTTTGTATTCATCCAATATTTTTTTTAAATTATTATCAATATTTGAATTCATACATATTCGCCTGCCTGTTGCTAACGAAGTTATTTATTATCATTATATATTATCGTTATGTTTATAAATAAATATGATTATAATAATTACCTGATTTTTGTTTACGTCCTCTAATAATATTTTTATTTTAAATACATTTATTAAAAAGAAGATATAGAATTTTATAATTGCAATATAAAATAACTTACATTTGGTTCCGCCACTCGATAATTTTATGTAAATCACTTATCACTCCAATTAATCTAATTCCATCCGCGTCCCCCATCTCTGCAGATTTTTGATAATAAATGAATGCCTTACGTTCGTCCTTTTCAACTCCAATTCCATTTCGATAACAATATCCAACCTGATATGTTCCCCTAGCATGACCTATCTTTGCAGACTTCTGATAATATAAGAATGCTTTATGTTCATCCTTTTCAACTCCAATTCCTTTTTTATGACAATATCCAACCATATACATTCCATCAGCGTATCCCATATCTGCAGATTTTTGATAATAAATGAATGCCTTATGTTCGTCCTTTTCAACGCCAATTCCATTAAGATAACAATATCCAACCATATATGTTCCTTTAACATTACCCGTCTCTGCCGATTTTTGGTAATAAATGAATGCCTTATGTTCATCCTTTTTACCTCCAATTCCATTAAGATAATAATACCCTACATTACATGTTCCATCAGGATCTCCCATCTCTGCAGATTTTTGATAATAAATGAATGCCTTATGTTCGTCCTTTTCAACTCCAATTCCAGTTTCATAACAATATCCAACCATATTTGTTCCACTAGTGACCCCCATCTCTGCAGATTTTTGATAATAAATAAATGCCTTATGTTCGTCCTTTTCAATTCCAATTGCATTAAGATAACACTCTCCAACCATATACGTTCCGCTAGCGTCTCCCATCTCTGCTGATTTTTGATAATAAATGAATGTCTTATGTTCGTCTTTTTCAACTCCAATTCCATTTTCAAAACAATAACCAACCATACGTGTTCCGCTAGCATGACCTAATTCTGCAGATTTTTGATAATAAATAAATTCCTTATGTTCGTCCTTTTCAACTCCAATTCCTTTATTATAACAATATCCAACCATATACGTTCCGTCAGCATCTCCCATATCTGCAGATTTTTGATAATAAATGAATGCCTTATGTTCGTCCTTTTCAACACCAATTCCATTTTCATAACAATATCCAACATTATATATTCCACTAGCATCCCCCGTCTTTGCTGATTTTTGACAATATATGAATGCCTTATGTTCGTTCTTTTCAACTCCAATCCCATTAAGATAACAATATCCAATCATATATATTCCATTAGTGACCCCCATCTCTGCAGATTTTTGATAATAAATGAATGCATTATGTTCATTCTTTTCAATTCCAATTCCATTTTCATAACAATATCCAACCTGATATGTTCCCCTAGCATGACCTATTTTTACAGACTTTTGATAATAAATAAATGCCTCATGTTCGTCCTTTTCAACTCCAATTCCATTAAGATAACAATATCCAACCATATATGTTCCACTAGCGACTCCCATCTCTGCAGATTTTTGATAATAAATGAATGCCTTATGTTCATCCTTTTCAACACCAATTCCTTTTTTATAACAATGCCCAACCTTATATGTTCCCCTAGCATGGCCTATTTTTGCAGACGTTTGATAATATATGAATGCCTTATGGTCGTCTTTTTCAACTCCAATTGCATGTAAATAACAAAATCCAACCATATACGTTCCGTCAGCGTCTCCCATCTCTGCAAATTTTTGGTAATAATTGAACACTTGATCATATCTACACATTAAACTAGGATTTTCTAAGTCAGATGATAATTCTTCAGTACCAGACATTTTAAACCTGAGAACAGATGGTATAAACAAAAATCTCGTACGTACGTACATAACGTAAATACTTATATAGACATCTGAACAATATTACCGAACCATTTTTTTATTTCCTTATTGGGGTCGTCTAAAGCTAAATCACATAACAATCAACCAATCAATTTTGAAACAAAAAAAAAAATAAATAAAGGTGAAAATAGAAGAAATGGCAATCCAATCCCATTTTGAGGTATTTAATGAAATATTTCGGGAAGGCAATTTTACTATATATATATGTAACTACAAAGGAAAACCACTTCGATCATATAAATTTTATATGATCTAAGTCTGATTTCCCTTTGGTGCCACCAGCAAGATTTTTTTCGATCTTTGACAGCAGCCCTACATTGTTTGAGTACGTCGAGTGTAACCTGAGTTTGCATAAGGAGAGCTTCTTCTTGCATTGAGAACATAGTAAAATCTTCAATTATATTATATAGTTGGAAGTTTACTTTGTATTCTCAATGCAGGAAGAAGCTCTCCTTATGCAAGCCCGGATTACACTTGACGCACCCAAACAAGGTTAAAAATCGAAAAAGACTACTAGTGTCACCGGTTTTTAATTGATCAATTTGACCCGGGTCAAGTTTAATTTGACTTAAAAACCAATTTGACCCGTAACATATATACTTAATATTAAAATGCTTCTAGTTAAACTGATATCTAGAAATATTAAACAAATTTTTTATTTTTTTTTGAGGTATTGCTATAACTAGAGTGATATTCATTTGTTTTTTTAGTTTTTTAAGACTAAACTAATTTAAAATAACTTTAACATTCTAAGAACCTCCTTTCTACAGCTTTATCTAATATTAATAATGTAAAACTTTATAACATATTTGCCACTTGGATTATTAATCGTCAATGTCTATTCACTATTATTGAGAATCCTAAGTTAGTTGAAATTATTCAGTATGTAAATTCTAAAGTATAATTAGTTAAAGCTGATGCAATAAAGAATAGAATTATGTCATTTCATGATTTAGAAAAAGAGAATTAAAGGCAAGTATTATGATTATTATATTTATATTATTTAGGATATTTTTAAGCATCTTTTTTAATGTAATTAGCCAGTGATTGAGGGTATGCCGGCTAGCCAAAGGTGCCGGAAATAAATTCAATTAAAGGACTTGAAGTTTGCAAAATACATTATGAGCAATTTTAGCTAAGTAATTCGAACTGAAACGATGATATGCTGATATGCTTAGCAAGTGAGATTGCGCCAGGTATCATCGTAACAGTAGAATGAGCGAGAAGCAGCATCAGCCGGTGGTTTCCCGCCTACTCAAAGCAGGTCGACGGTTAAATAGGAACATGGCAGAACCAGGAGACTACCTTGTGCGGTGGGAAGGGAAATTTTGTGATTATTATGTCGAAAGTGACTTTCGTCAGTTCTTATATATCGATTCTGATCGGTGGCTTTTCTGCTACGTATTTCTGCTTATTTTGATTACGATCAATCCGGCACAAGGGGTTGTAACACGTGGCGCGAACCCCTGACCAGTTCTGCCCTTTCTTTTCGATCTGTTGACCCTTGTCAACATGCATGAAATAAACTGTTTATAAAATGAACTGTCTATGAAATGAACTGTTTGTAAATTAATTGTCTTTAAAATAAACTTGCCTGTGAGTTAATTGTCTTTAAAATAAAGTTGTCTGTGAATTAATTGTTTATACAATAAGGTGTTTATAAATGATTGTCTATGAAGTGATGCGTACCCCCTCACATACAATTAAGACTTTATCTACTAGCCGAGGATTTGATCATCGATAGTCAACCCGACTTTTAACCAACCGATTCTCAACCGGTTGGATTATTGCTCAATCGACGGTTGACCCGGATCAGGATTCTTTAGACGGTTCGGATCACTAAACTCGATATAAGAAACCTTCGATATAAGAAACTTGATTTAAGATTTTGTAAAGGTAAATCCCATTTAAAACTTTTATAATAAAAAGAAGAAAATTTCGATACAAGATTTTGGCTGGACCCGACAACTTTCTTATATCAAGAGTCAATTGTAGAATAAGGCAAACCTAGTCCGGCGTAATTTCTAGCATAATAATAATATTTCACACTCGTTTGTTAGTATAAACAATTTTTGATTGGACAGGATTGTTTTATAAGACTTTGTTTATTGAACATGAAACTGTGTAATTAAATATGTACGACCATTTATCTTTGTTACCGTTACGTACATTTAATCGCATAAACCGCCAAATCATCCTGAATACTGTATGATGAAAAAAGAGAATAATGAATACTTTTTCCGTACCGAGATTGATATTTATAAACATTAAGGTTCTCATTAAGTAAGAACATGAGGACGACATAAATAAGCATAATTTCTTGCACCATTTGTTTGTAATGTGTCAAAATTTACAACATGTAACAGTTGCCAACGAAAACTTTAAAATATGAGGAAGACTTGACCACCTTTTTTTAAATAATCGTAAAATAGCAAACATACAGTAACAGTTTAACTCTGGAAATCATCAAATTACTAATAATTATAATAATTACTATAATATTTCCAGTTATTGTTACGTGTTTTTGAGAAAATCAATAATGAACACAATAAACAATAAAATAAAAGTGTAAATTTTGGATTGACCTTATAAATATTGGTTTTTTATGCGAAAAAAGTCATGATTGGTAATGTGGGGAGTTTCGTTATTACGTGTATGCCAAAAGTGGCAAGTCAATTCAAGAAGATAATTGGCTAACCACAAAAGGATTCGGCAATTTCCTTCTTTTGGATGTGAAACGTCGAACATGTCTTCCATAATTTACTGCCGATTGTATCAGAAAATAATATATTAATACGCATTCGTCGCTGTCATATAATTCTACGATACGTTAACTTAAAATAAGGCGGCTTCATTCTTTTGATGCTGTTCTTGATTTTCTTTCTTTAATGTTACATTTATGGCTTTTTTATTAAATTTAAAAACTATATAGGAAGACTTACGATTTAGCCGGCGCTGGCCCGCCATTTTCATTTTCCATCAAATACGAAAAACCATTTACTCTTTACCGACACAAATTTCACCAAAAAAATATTTTTCGTCCTCTACACAATTCTTCAAGTCATTTAACGCTTGTAATATATCCATTTTTTAAAAATCTCCAAACACATTTTCACAATATGATTTTTTTGCTCGCTAGTGCCGGCGTGGTGTTATCTACCATGAGTGCTGTCTATATTATCTACAGAGCATTTGATAATTTCTCTCCGGTAATGCACATTACATGTTTTATTGGTACTCTGATCATTGAAGCTCTATGTATTCTCGACCTTTTGCGAGCCGTCGACTTGTTAGAATTTAGTGATAAATACGTTAGCATATATTTTCTGTTCACCTCATTAACAGCAATTCTCTCATGCTATGTCCTTTTACACGTTGGCACTAATTTTTATCAAGAATATAATTTTATCAAGACCTTTCTAATATTTGCACCAATTGCGGTGACTTTCGGCGTTTTTGGAGTTTCAGTTTACACAGTTATAACATTCTCTATTAATTATAATTCTAATAAGCAATATGACGTAGATATAGATATGTCACTGGAAAAACTTACCCTGTTTTTAAGTCTCTTGGCTGCTGGACTAACTCTCGCGTATGTAATTTGTCCATTATTCACCATTCGTCGTCAAACAGAGCTTCGTCCCGAACAAACCGCAATCTCAATAATAAATCTATTGACCGTCCTGACATTCTTTGTGGCTCATTTTGCTGTTTATTGCACGATAATTCTAAGTGGTCCACTCTCAGATATTAACATAGAATCAATTCACAACATTATTTTATTGTTAATATTTCCTGGATGTTTGATAAAGCCACCCAGGAAATTAGTAAAAATTGTTAAACGAAAAATGTTGGGGGTCGAAGAATTGTTAATTGGTGGAGATTTTAGGCCAGCAATGATGCTCAATGGCTTTGATCAAGCAAAGGGTCCCAAAATCGAGCATGTACTGCCCGCACATATTTTGAATTCACGTCGTTCACTAATGAATTCTGCATCACCAAAGCGTAGCGATACTCCATAGCACTCATCTAGCGAACATTATCAATAAATATATTCCCAGATTAAATTGGTGAATATAAAATTAAGTACACCTTTCCTCTTTTATTATAATATTTTAAAAATTAACAAAAATGGAAACAAGAACAATTGATCTTTCTTCTGTATAATATAAATGGAAGTTTGTTGGATTTCATGAAGAAAATTTAACTATACAATTACGATTAACTTTTAATTTTTTTAATTTTTTTTTTTTTGGTCAACTTTTTATTTCCTTATTTCCGTTTTTCTGATAAAATGTTATTTCACTAAACATCCGAAATTGTATTAAACCCTTAAAAATTAAAAAAAAAAAAAAGTTTCACAATAAACAATTGAAACAATCCGAATCACGAAACATAAAATATATAACAAATTATTAATATTAATAGCTTATTCTGGTCTAGGTTGGTGTTAATAATTAAGAATACATGTCAGCATATAATCTATTGGCGTTAAATGGCATTGCAGTATTCTAAGCTTTATGTTCGAAAATCAAATTTTCTCTGCGATTCACACTGTGGTTAGAATTTTAATATTACTAATTGACCCTATACATAAAATGTATATGTGGTATTGCGCAATTTCTCCCTGACTTAGTTTTTACTACACGAAAATAGACTTATCAGTTTCATGGCATGTACTGTAATGATTCCTTAATAATCTGGCAATTTTAATACATAAATGTTAGAAATCGAAATTTAAAACTCATCTGGAATGTAAAAAACTCAACCTCTCATCAGTTTTTTATGAAGTTGTTTATAGAACTTGTGGCTCGTCCTTGTGAAGGGAATGAAAACTACCTACGCCAAGAGTTATAACTACTGCAGAATAATATAAATGGGTTCGGACGCCAGACATTTAAGGGACGGTTCAGAACCGGTTCGGTGCTTGTCCATATAAAAATCGTGTGACTAAATAAAATTCAAAAAAGTATTCTTCACTAATTAGATGATTGATACCAAATTGGTGGATTCAGTAACGGTAATTGTTTTACTGTTGTGTCATATGAATTAAAAAGAGAATAATACCAGGTGTTGTAAGCTAATTCCTAACGCTTACTAGTTCAGAATTGGACTTTTTAAGAATCGGATGGACTTTTTTAACATGTTATGATATTAATTTACTTCATCAACATCGTTGTTAACTCTTTTTGGATCCGTAATAATAAAATCGCATCATGATGACTTTGATTATCGTTTTAAGTTATATTTCTGATATTAGGTGTCTAATTATGTCAACGTTCCAGTAGTACTCTTACTTTTTTTATCCGATTCTTGCCACTCATTGATATTATTTAGTACCGGTTCGTAAAACTCGTTTATTATCATCAACAGCTGCGAATAAATCTCTTATTCCTGGATCAAATTCAACCAGTTGTACTAATTATTGTAATTATTGTAATTTTCTATTTATTAAAATGCTATAATAAAATTATTGCTTAAAATACGTACGTACAAAGTAAAAATAGTGCATATAAATAGCAAAAAATAATATATTTTTAGTAGCGACTTCAAATAATGTTACTCGTGTATCGAATTTTTTTGGCTGATTTAATTGGTTAATAATTATTAAGAACAGCTAACACAGGAGTCAACCTTAATTACAGAATTTCGAATTTTTTAGAACGATAAGGAATAAAAAAAGTTAATCTTTATTATTATATTATTGTGTAAGACAATATGCTTTCTGTTTCTAGCTATAATGTAAAATGTACGCCCTCTATAATTGCACTCTATGCTTCAATCTCAACTACCCTAGTGCACTGACCAAAGTACCCCCTTTTTTGCGTACCCCCACTCAAAATACCCAGGTACTTTATAGCATTTTTTTTTTTTAACCGTGGATAATTCCCGGGTATTTTGCATGGCATTTTTCACGTTAACACTTCTGCATTACATGTACGTATAAGACCGTACAAAGTACCCCCCATACAAGATACTCGTCATCGATCAAGATACCCACGGGTACTTTATAAGTTTTTTTTGTTAGATTGTATTGGACCCGGGTACTTTGGTCAGTGCACTACGGTACTACTGTACTTACGACTTATAAAACTACTTTCGTTAATGCACGCCCTCTATAAATGCATGCTAGAAGATGCATGTATAGAGGTTGAACTGTTTAGATGATTGTTAAACTGTTTCACACAATTCTTTGTAATGAATAAACTTTTTGCGCTAAATCATCATAGAATTACACATAAACCGATATCATGGAATTGTACAGAATATGCTTAAAAAATAAGGACTTCGCATCATAAAATTTCTCATCTATACCGTCATGATACATTCGCGGGATACAAGCAATGAAAAGATTACCTAACGACATTTATGTCATTGAGTGTGGTAACAAATACCTGATTTGATTTTTTATTTTTCTTTTTTACAAACTTCTGGGCTTGGTAAAATTAAACTGGTCAGACTAAACCATTTAGGTTCCAAACTACCGCTCTGACCGCTGAGGTGCAGTCGAATCGTCCCAATGATGCCGTAACTTTGCCGTAACGTGCCGTAACTATATTAAATAATTATAAAAAGTTACGGCAAACATGCCGTAACTTTTTATATTTAATATAGTAACGGCACGGCAAAGTTACGGCATCATTGGGACGCCTGCACCTCTACTGACCGCATAAACTAGTTTAACCAGTTAGTTGCTGATCATTACCAAATTGTAAAACCAGTTTAAAAAAAATCGTACGTAATCATTTCTATTTTCGAATACATTAAATTGTTTATTATATATAATTTTATTAATCTTTTAGAGAAAGCCAAATTTTAAAAAACTAGATTTCTAAGTTTAATAAACCATTATCAATAAATTATGTTGAACTTGAATGTGTATTAAGTAGTGATTTGAACCGGCTAGGCCTTAATCGGGTAACTGACCTGAACCGAACAAATTTGGGTGAACCGATTAAGTAAATGCTTAACCGGTTAATCTGACATAATGGCATAATCAGTTAACCCGGTTAACCCGATATGATCGGTTGATCTAACATAATTGATTGACCAGACATAATCGGTTGACTCATATTCAATTTTTGTGACTTAGAAATAGATTTTTTTATTGTTTATTGGACTTCTTTATTTGCTTGTAAAAACTTTTGTGCATATGAAACATTTTACAGCCATTTTTTTTGTCTGCTTTAAATAAAAAAAAATTTCAATAAGTTCAACAAACAACCTTCAGTTAACTTAATTAATTAGGTTACTTAGCTAATTTGATTAACCGATTGTTTTGGTTGACCCGATTAGCCAGATAACTTGGTTGACTCGGTTAATTCAGTTGATCTGACTAATTCAGTTGACCAGCTAATTCAGTTGGTCTGAGTCAACTGATCTAACCAAAATAATACATTTGAGCCGATTGTATCTAAGTAAGTTAACTCAGTTAACCAATTTGGATTTTATTATCCAGTTCAAATCATTAGTATTAAGAATAATTTTACTTGTATTATCATAAATATCTATATAAGAATTTCCAATGTCTTCAATAATAATAATGTATATTTTATCTATAAACTATTGTCTACTCAAACTGCTATAATAAGAAGATTACAGGGTGTGGCGACTTAGTGTAGTTGGTAAGTTGTCGCACCCCAAGCGGCAGGACAAGAGTTCGAATCCCACCGGTAACGAAATTCGAATTTGCAGAAATGCGTTACGGTAAAACTGTATGACATATCGATTGGGTAAGCACCTGTAACCTTGGTCTCACCAACTCGTATTGGGAGGTTGTGGAATGT